AGGCAATGTTGTGCCTTGTTTCAGCCGCCATGCTATAAACAAGTCTCCTTGTCACAATCTATCTAGTGCCACAGTCTTCATATTTTTGTGCTTGTCATTGGTTATGTTCACTATTTGAAATGCCCCCCAAATGTGGTGCTGAAAATCCTATCTAGGGTTCAGAGCACAAGAAGGCTGTGATGCACTTACCAAGACACTACAACTGTTTGATAAGTTTCCTTCAGGCATGCGTGACAGTGCGTTGGTCATGAGCTCAAAGTTAATGAACCAATAATTCAGTACTTTCAGAAAAAGAAAGAGGAACGTCGCTGATATGTGTGTGCTTCTGCTCTGGAAAGTTCTAAGGTAATATCTATAATGTCTGATGAAGCTATGAAAAAGATGGAAAAGTAGCTGAACTTATGAATTCATGAAGTGAAGACTGATTTGCAAAAAAAAAAAAAAAAAAAAAAAAAAAAAAAATGGTGGACAGCATTGTGAGGCTAAAAGCCAAAGAAAATTTATGGTAACATTACTCAGGGTCAGGAAACTGTTAAACCCTTCTCAGCTGTGTTTTATTAGACAGAAATATTGCATGTAATTAATTATTTGTAAGAAACATATATTAAATTAGGTGTCTTCCAACAGAAACGTACATAAAACAAGTTTATATATCGATCTGCTGATGAAAATGTTGTGACCAGAGGCCCACAGGAACCTAAGCGAGTATTTCCCCTAGGAGCAAGGGCTTAGTATTTGCTAATGTGATGCTCGCAGCAACTTTATAGAATGTAACTACTGCAAATAAGGAGACTTGGCTGTATATGTAGAATGGGAAAGAGACAGGTAATCGATTGCTCTGCGAAGTGATGAATATCAAGACAGCTTCCTGAGCAACATTCCAGGGAATGCTGTGGACGTGACTAAGTGACTAGGTACTACATTTAAATACATTTTTTTCTGGAAAAACTTTCAAAAGAAAATTTTATGTTTTTGCTTTTTAAGTTATGTGTGTATGAGCAATACTTTATGATTAGCTATGATTTCTACACGATCATCTCACATATGCAGGAAATCCTGCAGAGGGAGAAAATCTAGCCCACAAATCAGTTTCAAATGTAATTAAAATTTGGTGAGTTTAAAATTGTACAACTATGGAAGTGTAAGTTGTGTTATGTTTGGTAGACAACTTACATACTTACCATTGGCAATATCCATTTTGCAATTTTTAATTTTATAGCCCATAATATTTTGTTTTGGTTCAACTCGTATTTTATTTTTTAGGCCTTGAGAAAGTTCCTAGTCCTTGGTAACCAAGGGAAGATCAAGACTGGGGACTCTGAAGCCTATGCAGCTCAAGGGTCCTGTGAAGAAAAAGAACACAAAATTACAAATACAAAATTAGGCCCCTTGGAAGAAGTATTATTAGCTCCCAGGTTAATTTGCCTCTGATCAGCATGTATAGCCTATTGAATAAAAGGTCCTCTGCAGAGAGGTGCCTGGGTGGCTCAGTCAGTTAAACATCGAGTTCTTGATCTCAGCTCAGGTCTTGATCTTGGAGTCATGAGTTCAAGCCCCACATTGGCTTCCACACTGGGTGTGAAGCCTGCTTAAAAAAAAAAAAAAAAAAAAAAAAAAAAGGTCCTCTTCAGAGGCCACCCTGGGTATAGGAAGACCAGGTAGGAAATTCTAGCAGTTCAAGAAAGGAAAGATCAAAGTACAAACATGGGGATGGAAAGGAAGGGAGAGATAACAAGAGATATTTATGAGGTTGGTCTGATAGGAAATGTCATTTGATGAAGGAGGTGTCAGAACATGTCCAGCATGTTTTCTGCTGAGATGACAATGAGTCAGAAGAGGGAACACAGAAGGGGATATGAGTGGTTGGATGGAGCAGATTTAGAAGATAAATGACTTCAGTTTTGGAAATATCAAACCTGAGGTGGCTGTGGACCACCCCCAGGCACCACACAGTGCATTCTGGACAGAGATGGATGGAAGTCATTTTATGTCTATCTGGGGCTCAAGACAGAGCACCCACCAGTGTGCACCAGACAGCTGTTGGCATGTGAATGGTCTCTGAACCCCTGGTGACTGAAGTTGATGAGCTCTCCCAGGGAAGTGCATAAATGAGGAGGGAGACATGAGGGAGATACACTCTGGGCAACACCATCATTTAGAGGTAGAGATGCACAGAAAAAGAGGAAATGTTTGTTTCTTCATACTGTTCATTGAGAACCTGCAGGGATTACATACTGTGTATGGTGTTGAGTTAGAGGAGAGCAGAGTCAGGTATGGAGGTTGTCAGCACCGGGCAGGGTGACAGGGAGCTAGAGGTAGAGGGTGAGCACAATTTGGGTTTTCCAGATGAGGGAGTTAATGAGCAAAGTCACAAAGCTCAAAAACCAGGAAACAGTGAGCAGCTCTTTCCAACTAGGATATAGGTTATCCTGGGACAAAGACAGAGAGCATGATATGAACATTGTACGTTGGCATTAAATTATAGATGGGCTTTTGAAAGCCAAAATATGAAGTTTAACCATGGGAGCCTCTGATGATTTTTGAGCAGAGGAATTTTACTCTCAGAGCTGAACATGAGGAAGAGGTTTTTAGAAGATGTGCATACAATTGGCTTTGCACAGACCAAATAGAGACTCTTATAATAGAAGCAGCAAGAAGCAGGGTGCCTGAACTCAGAGGGTCACTGCAGACATATGGAGGAGGGATGAAAGCAAGTGATGGTGTATAGAGGAACTTGAAGGGTTTTACTGATTGGACTCACAGGCCCTATGATGAGCAAATAGCGATGGGAGTCCAGGTTTTGAGTCTTGATGGCCAGGGGGCAAGTTCAGCATTCACTGATTGATCTGCAAAGCATATAAGCCCCAAAACCCTTGAGCCAGGAGGGAGAGAGAAATCTAACCATGGAAACCACAGAGCTCCTTCTCTGTGTGATGCCTCCTCCCCGTCCCGCACAGGGCTTGTGTTACTGCAGCCCATTCGTGAGGACCCACACCATACTTAGGTTGAGAGTAAGGTCGGGCTCAGCTAAAACGCCCACATTTCCCCATTCTGCAGTTTGCTTTGTTGTTGTTTGTTCTTGTTGAATCCTAAACTAGAACTTGGTTTTCATCTGGTGGCATTTCTCTGGTTGGGTTTGGCCCCAACACTCACATCACTGAGCTGCTTTTAAACCTCCCTCATCTTCCCTGAATGGAGCCTGTCCTGCCTCTCACCGAGACCAGCATGCCTTCTGGGCACTTTGCTTTGGTTTGGTCTGAGAACCAGCCCATGTCCCTCACGTTTACTAATAAAATGGAGGACAGAGGGTCACACTGCCAGTCTCCAAGAGTTCTCCTCCAACATAGATCACCTTGAGATACCTAGAAAAGTGGGAATCATGGGCGGAGTAGGGGAGGGAAGCAGGGAGAGAGACAGAAGATGTCTCCTCTCAGTCCTAGGGAACTGGCTTCCTGGTGACCACACTGCCAGGTCTCCTAGAGGACTTGCTAAGAATCCACTGTAAGTCCCCTTGGAATTCCCACCTAAACCGCCTAAAGCTGCTTCTCTTGGGACCTACTCCAGGTGCTTGTGGAAAGGCTGCTTTTTAAAGTCTTCTCCTGGAATGTCTGGGTGGCTCGGTTAGTTAGACCTCTGACTCTGGGGTTCAGCTCAGGTCATGATCTCACAGTTTCGTGAATTTGAGCCCTGCGTAGGGCTCCACACTATTAGTGCTTGGGATTCTCTGCCCCCCTCTCTTTCTGCCCCTTCCCCACTTGCACTGGCCCTCTCTCTCAAAATAAATAAATAAACAGAAAAAAGTCTTCTCCCTCCCCGTGAAGGCTTAGTAAACTGCAGGCATGACCTGTTACATGATTTGCTGGGCCCTGTTTTAAAAACTAAGGATTTCAAGATGGCAGCATCAGAGCACTGAACCGAGCACTGGCTTTTCTGGAGTGGGGGGCCCACGTGACCTTAGAGGTCACACTCACATGCAGCCGCACCAATGGCTCTGTGTCAGTGCATCGTGAGATGTGCTCATACTGTGCTTCCCCACTTCATCGCAGCTGTGGGTGCAAACACCCACCCGATAGATCCCCCCCCTCCCCAACCTGGTCATAAAACATATCCACACCCTCTGCTCAGCTGCTCCCATGCCTGTACGCCCAGCTTACCCACAGAGACTCGTCTCTAGAGAAGGATTCTCCTTCCCTTTCTCCATTTAATTCACTCCACCTCCTCTCCAGCTGACCTTTTGGTTAATAGATTAAACTTTTGGGTAAGATTTGAATATTCTCACCCAGTCACAGGCACCACAAAATGAAAAAATAAAGGGATGTCCTCTCCTGGACAACACTGTTAAGGCGCAATTCCAGTGGAGGGGTGACCCAGGCAGTGGCTGCCAGCTGGGATTATCTCCCTGGAGAGGAGGGTCTGAGGCAACCTGGGGACACCTACACATTTGCAGAATCCCACTTGACTATCATCCTGGTTTTTTTAGAAATCCGAATGTCACAATCTTTGCTTTTACCTAGATGAGGAAGTTGAAGCCGAGAGAAGTTAAACAACTTTCCAAGGTCACACAGCTAGGAAATAGCACACTCAAAACTAGAACCCTGAGTCCTAAAACAGACCACTTTTCTCTACACACACTGAAGAGGACCCCAGTCCCCCCATCTCATTGTTCCTTCTGTCCACAGTGGGGCATTTTATGAAACCCAGCTCAAGGCTTTGAAGCGGCTTCCATTCTATTCATATATAAAAGAATAGACTCTGATTTCTGCTTTCCTCCAAAGGATTTTAGAGTTGGATTTTAGAGTTGATTTCTGATTTGTTTTCAACTGAATACTTAGATCAATCACATTACAGTAACGTAATCATGGAGTACAACTTAAAACTTCAGAAGACACCCTATATCCTTGATGGGATTAGAGTGGTGTCTTAATAAAACCATATACCTTTTTCAGCATATAACATGTTCTCTTTCCAGCTAATTTTTATTTCTTGTTCTCACTCTCCAGAGACAACCCTTCTGCCCAGTTTAACCTCAGAACTCACATGAATTCCCGGGATCTGAGAACTGCCATAGAGAAAATCACCCAGAGAGGAGGGCTTTCCAATGCAGGTATGTGACCGAATTCAGATCATTCTAGCTTGCTTCCACGGTTCTCCCTCTGTGTGATTGTCTTCTAACATCCTATATAGGAGGAGGAAAAATAATAATAATAATCCATCAAGAAATGACACACATATACAAATGAATTATATCTTTTCTAAGGTATCATCATGGATTCAGGGGTAAGAATCATCACCACACATATGCTGAAGAGTTCCAGCATGCCTGGTTCCTCAGGTTGGCAGCTTTCTTCAGGACAAGCAGGACTGCTATTGTAACTGTTTCCTAATTGACTGACAAGCCATAAACTATTTAACATTAAATGTTATAACCAATTCCACTCAGAAAGCTCCACAGTGCCCCTTGGGAATCTTCCTCCAATGAGCTCCCCTGTTCTAGTGTTGACTCTGGAAACAGAGACAGGTTCCTTGTTTCAAGCTGAGTCTCCTGAGATGTCTGCACCTTGGTGGTTAGGGGTGGGGTGGGGGGGTTACCAGAAGTCCAAGTCTAGCCCTCAATGTGTCCAGAAACCATTTTGCCAGTTCACCAGGAGCTATCCAGGCATTGGGGAACCCTTTCACACTAACCAAACTCAAAAGTTGCCAGTAAGCCTAGGCCAGCATATCAATTCATAAATGGTAGTCTGGCTTTGGGGGCACTGGGAGGGCTGTCTACTTCTCAGGGAACCTCTTTGTATCATTGAAACCCAAAGAAATGGAGAAGTGAGCCACAGTTGCTTGGCATGGAGCACACAGAGAATAGAACTGACTCTGAAGGAACATCTTTGAAGTTACTATAAGTCTGATTATTTTGTTCTCTGCTTCATTGTACATCTCTGTGGACCGGTATGTTAGTATCTGGCAAATGAAAAGCCCTTGATCTTCGAAAAATGCTAAATAAACATTAGCCAAGTCACTGCTATCTGGGACCCCAAATCAGTATTACCACATTGCAAATGTAATAGACTTAATTTCTTTTTTAAAAAAAGTTTATTTATTTATTTTGAGAGAGAGACAGCATGTGAGCAGGGGAGGAGCAGAGAGAAAGGGAGAGAGAGAGAACCCCAAGCAGCCTCTGCCCTGCCAGAGCAGAGCCCGATATGGGGCTCGAACCCATGAGCTATGAGATCATGACCTGAGCCAAAGTCGAGTCAGATGTTTAACTGACTGAGCCACCCAGGTGCCCCGATAGAGTTTATTTCTGATTTGATTTCAATTGAATACTTATATCAGTCATACTTCAGTAATGTATCATGAAGCAAAACTTTAAAACTTCCGAAGACACCCTATGTTCTTGATGGGATTAGAGTGGTGTCTTAATAAAATCATATACCTTTTTCAGCAGATAACATGTTCTATCCCTGCCCTGTACTGATCAGAGTTTGGGTTCAGAGAACAGGACCCATTTCAACTGGTTCAAGCAGAAAGGGGTTTATTCCTAGGTATTAAATGGTTTTGAAGATAATCAAAAGGACTGCAGAAATGAACTCTAGGTTGAACTTTGAGAGATGTTTTCTAAAGTCTTCCTGCAAAACTTGGACCTCCAAGGAGCTGCTGCCTCTTCCAAGATCAGGAAATCACATTCTCAATTCTGCCAATAGAGCCTCTTCAGGAACCTGATTTAGCCAGGAAGCCACCACAGTCAGGAAGTTCCTGCTACGGTGGTCAGCCCCCCAACCAGGCCTTGCCTGCTCCATTCACATGCACAGAAAGAATGTTCTGCACCCTGCCACCTCAATGGCAACAAAGCTAGACAGCAGACATAAGTTCCTCTGGCACCACCCAAGAAGTCAAGTACCCTACAGATGCTCATAAGCAGAAAGAACAGAGTCCAAAATACAGTCTCTGCCTCTCTTCACTCTTCTAAATTTCATATATGCACATCGATTCATGAAACTAGAACAAATCCAGGGCTGTAGTTGCAAGGGAGTCTCAACAACGTAGTTTTCAGATTTCCAGCCTCTGCTTCCAAGATGTGCTAGAAGGTGGATGCAATGTGGGTTGAGCAGTAATGGACTATGGCCTCCAAATTTAAGATTGAGTGAGGCCAGGGGTGTGCTCTGTTTACAGGCATCTAACATTAAGCCAGAGGGGACTGCCAGGTGCCTTGGGCCTTGAGGGACATGTCCCTTGGCTGTGAAGGCAGTTCTCAGCAGCCAGGTTTTCCCTCAGCAACTGTGCTCCCTGCAGCCAGATCACATGGGTTTTCCAAGACTTTTCTCCAGCAACTGAATGTGTGATCATTTGATCCTTCTTTTGACAGGTTAAGATTAACCCGTGGAGCCAGGATATTGGCCAAAACCAAAAAGCATTGAGTGAAATAACGTTAATCCTAAAGTCTTAAGATGGTTCTTAACTTTTATTTAGATTGAAGACCCCTTTGAGCATATCCTGAAAGCTACTCCTCTACCCAAATAAATACTTTTATACACAAAATGTTGTGTATAATTTCAGGGAATTTGTGGATACACATGCCCATTGCCCCCAGGGGTCCACAGAGCCCGGGTTAAGAGCACCACCTTACTGTATGCAGCTATGCTAACTCTAGGGTGACCTGGTCATCCCAATCTTCCCAGGAACATATGGGGCTTTCAGCGCTTAAACTGGGAAAGTCCCAGCAAACTGGGACAATTGTCACCCTGCTTGACTGAAAAATCCCTGAGGTCCTATGTGGTGTGAAACATGTGCTTTGGAAAGGCAGGCTGGGAGGCTCCATTACATCTTACAACTGTGGCTTTCAGCTGAAATGGAAATCCAGGCCCAGAGGCCCAGAGTGACCTACCTGGGCCCACACAGCCAGTAGGCAGCACAGCCAGGGCTAGAACACAGTCCCTCAGTTCTTAGCAGGTGCAGTGCTTCCCTCGCCAGCCAGACCTGTGCCCCTAACTGGACAAAAGACACCACTCAACCTCGAATGTAGCCTTCCACACCCAGCAGCCCCTAGAGCACCAGGCTGGCTGACCCCCAGTGACAGGAGGTGGAGAAAAGGCTCCTGTCGCTCCAGGTCAACCCCTCCCACCCCATGCTCCCAGAAAGAGCATAGTGTGGTTCCAGCATGCAGGCAAAGAGGGGACCCTTTTATTCCCATGAAAGTCTTTCTCATCTGTTTGCTGGTCCCTAACACTTTTTTTTTTTTTTTAAATAAAAGACAATTAGAAGTTAAAGGCTTAAAGTGAAATGGGGGAGGGAAATGGTTAGTGGTCGTGGTTTTACAACATTGTGAATGTACTTAATACCACTGAATTGTACACCTCAAAATAGTTAATGTGGTTTTAAAAAAAAAAAGTTGGTGGGGGTGGGGGGAACCAACAAACAAAAGAAGAGAATGAATGGGTTTTTCTGGCTCTCTTTACACCACTAGGATCTTGCCTGCATTTCTAAGCACTCCAAGCATGAAGTTTCTTTTTCTTCCAGGCCGGGCCATCTCCTTTGTGACCAAGAACTTCTTTTCCAAAGCTAATGGGAACAGAGGCAGTGCTCCCAATGTGGCCGTGGTGATTGTGGATGGCTGGCCCACCGACAAGGTGGAGGAGGCTTCGAGGTTTGCAAGGGAGTCAGGAATCAATATTTTCTTCATCACCATCGAAGGTGCCACTGAAAATGAGAAGCAGTATGTGGTGGAGCCCAACTTCTCTCATAAGGTACGTAACTGCCCAAGGGACCCACCCACCGTCAGGATCTGCTGCACTTTGCAAAGCTGTAACTGCCATCAAGGCTGTTCTCCTACTTTCAAAGAAGGATTGAGCTCTCTTCTAGGTAGGGGAGCCTCTAGTGAGGGGCTAGTAAGTCTGGAAGCCAGACTTACCCTCTCAGAGCAAGACCCCACACCCACCTGGTGAACTGAGGCCAACAACAGCCCCTCGGGAGAAGCAGTGTCCCCAAGTCTCCAATAGAGGCTTCCCCAGGCTCTTTCCATGGCCACAGAGGACCTCCACCAGGCCACCTGGTGAGGCCTCATGTGAGCACACACACAGCCACATGTCCACTTGCTCACACACATGTGCATGCACACATACACACACACTGCAGATTAACCAACCCGATAAACAAGAAAAGAAAGGCATTGAATCAGGTCAGGCAGATCAGGTTTCCAAACTCTGCTCATGGTTTCTGTGGAGATGGCTGACAGCAGACAGGAGCAGGATAGACGGGGAGCCAGGCCTCTGCGCCCACTCCCCTGGAGAAGCTCACCTTTTGTATGTTTTACACAGTGGGACTCCACATAAACCTGCCTCCAAGGAAAAGGCCCCAGCTTGAAACGGAAAAGAAAGGAGGGAGGAATACGTTGTACTGGTTTGTCTTTGACGCCCTTCTAGCTTTGATGGTCTGTGTCTCCAGATCTCACAGGGCTCAACCTCCTGCACCAATCTGCTGACCACTTCATCGTCCTTGAAATTCTCATCTCCCTTGACTTCCAGGACACAGCGTGGCTCTTATCTCCTTTGCTCTCTCTACCCTTTCCTGTCTTGCACCCGACTTGCCCGGACTCAGTGCTTGGCCCTCTCCTTCCCTCTCACTGGGCTTTCTCCCCACAGAGTCCTCCCAGGCCACATCTGCCACCTTCACTCACAAGTCACAAGCAACAATACCCTCATCTATCCCCAACCCCGGTCTCTCCTGAGCTCTGTTTCCATCTGTTTCCAGCCAATTGACTTCCCTCCACCTGATGTCATGAAGAGCTTTGAATCTTGCATGTAAAAAGCTTGAGTGCCATCTTTCCCACCAAATTTATTCCTCCTCTGGACTTCACATGAATGGCCCCACAGCTGTCCCAGAGGCCTCGATAACTCCCAATGCCACCTCCCTGGGTCACGCTAGCACTCTGCATCTGGTCTGTCTCCCCGCTTATGGCTCCCCAGTCTAGTTTAGATTCCACAATGAAGCCCAACTCCTGTTTATGGAGAGTTCTTCCAGTCCAGAGGGGTCCTTGCTCCAAACCCTTCATTGTCCCCCACACTCTTGAGGCCTTCTGGAGTGTGGTCCCGACCCATCTCCTGCCCACACCAAGCACCACTGCCCTCTCCCTCCATGACCTCAGCCAGTGCCTGGTGGGTCTCCCTCCTTTCCCTCCACTGGCTAGAACTCAGCTCAACCTGGACACTCATCTCAAATACCACCTAGTTCATGGAAAGTTTTATAAACCCCTTTTAGGTTTTTGCAAACCAATTAAAAACATTTCCTAGGATATTTTAAAGTCATTTCTTGTTTTAAAATAAATTGGTAATCTTACTGCTTCATCTGTAGTCACCAGGTCTGTGACTCTCTCTGTGACCCCCGGACAGACAGCGGCAAGGAGGAAACACTTCACTTTAGGAACACAAGCCTGGTCCCTTCCAGGAGCACACCAGTCAGGTTGCTCAATGTTTACTTGTAGCTACCTTAAATTTTTTCTGGAACACGCTTGGGCACAAGTCAATAAATACTCATTTGTCTGGAGGCAGGGTCATCTGGAGGACAGAATTTGGGTTTTGCAGGCAGAGAGACTTGTGTTCCCGTCTTAGGGACTCAGGGATGTCCCTTCACAGGCGGCCCCCAGTTTGTTCCTTCACGAAGAGGGGTTATATCCTCCTTTTAGGATGAGGGCAGGGGGTTATGAGAGAATCTCTCCAAGAACTTCTAGCATGACTCCTTACATATGTATGGGACCCCTTGTTGCTGGGTGCAAGGCTGCTCTGGAAACATTTCTTCATCTATTTCTCACGCATCTTGTTTTCCCCATCAGAACAAAAACTTTCTTTAATCCTCTCATATGTTGGTGCCCACCAGTGCCAATCTTATGGCCGGCTGCCAGTACAAATGAACTGAGGGGCCCAGGGAGGCACAGGTACAAAGCTGAAATGAGTGATTCACCTCTCTCTAAGGATTTGCTTAAGTGATAGCTCTCCCCTAAAGCGGAGAGCCAGCTGAGGGAGTAAGACTGAGTCCAGAGATAACTTGAGGGATCTTTGCCCCAATGAGCACCTGACTGGGGGAACCGTGGTGCAGAAAGAGCATTAGGAAGAAGAGTGCAGAAAACAAGAGTCTGTTTGCTTCTTTCTTCGCCTGCCTTGCTGGTCGGGGTAGTGACAACAGCCTGGAGAATGTGACACCTGACGTGGCGAGTGTCCCTTCCCTCTGTCTTCCAGGCTGTGTGCAGAACAAATGGCTTCTACTCGCTCAATGTGCAGAGCTGGTTCAGCCTCCACAAGACAGTGCAAGCCCTGGTGAAGCGGGTCTGTGACACCGACAGACTGGCCTGTAGCAAGACCTGCTTGAACTCGGCCGACATTGGCTTCGTCATCGACGGCTCCAGCAGCGTGGGGACAGGCAACTTCCGCACGGTTCTCCAGTTTGTGGCCAACCTCAGCAAAGAGTTTGAGATTTCGGACATAGACACGCGAATCGGGGCTGTGCAGTACACCTACGAGCAGCGGCTGGAATTTGGATTTGACGATTACAACACCAAGTCTGACATCCTCAATGCCATCAAGAGGGTGGGATACTGGAGTGGTGGGACCAGCACGGGGGCCGCCATCAACTATGCCCTGGAACAGCTCTTCAAGAAGTCCAAACCCAACAAGAGGAAGTTAATGATCCTCATCACTGATGGGAGATCCTATGATGACGTCCGAATACCGGCCATGGTTGCCCATCACAAGGGTAAGCTGGTCTTGCTGACCAGTCCAGTGAGGGACAAGGAGGGGCTGTCTTTTTATTTTGTTTTATTTTATTTATTTATTTTAAATACGTTTTATTTATGTAAATATTTTATTTATATTTGTATTTTTATATATTTATATGCATTTATAAATGTTATTTATTTATATTTATATATTTATACATTATTTATTTATATTTATTTATTTATTTATTTATTTATTTATTTATTTATATTTGAGAGAGAGAGAGCGCGCGCGCAAGCAGGGGAGGAGCAGAGGGAGAGGGGAACAGAGGATCCAAAGTAGGCTCTCTGCCGTCAGCACAGCACAGCTGTGGCTGTTTGCATGGCTCAAACTCATGAACCATGAGATCATAACCTGAGCAGAAATCAAGAGTCAGTAGCTTAACCAACTGAGCCACCAGGCACCCCGGGGCTGTCTTTTTATGCACTGGTTTTGTCCACCATTTAATAAAATGCCCAAAACCATGGGGAATGTATTTGAGGTGTTGGTAAGCACTACAGGCCTCTATGAGCAGCAAAGAAGGAACAAGGTGGGGAGTACCACGATGGTTTACAAAGTGTCATGGCAAACCCAAGGCCTGCAGATGACTGGGAACATTAACCCTCTCCTTTGCGCCCAACACTCTGAGGCATTACACATGAAGTTGTAATGCATTAAAAAGGAATTTGACTCGTTATTTTAGTCTCTATTGAAGGCCACCAAATTGTGTTAGAAATTTGAAGAAAACTAGTGTTTTAAAAGAAAAGTACTATTTTTTGTAAGTAGCTGCTAGCCAGATGTTGGGGGTTTTGAGGAAACCTCAGAGAAATTTTCATCCAAAATACTTAAAGAGATATTTCTGAATAAAAATTTGTAAGAGGGCAACAGAAAGTTTAAAACTATGAAAAATGAGGGGCACCTGGGTGGTTCAGCTGGTTAAACGTTTGCCTCTTGATTTCAGCTCAAGTCATGCTCTGATGGTTTGTGAGTTTGAGCCCCACATTGGGCTGTGCACTGACAGTGCGGAGCCTGCTTGGGATTCTCTCTTCCCCGCCCTCTCAGCCCGTCCCCTGTTCACTTTCTCTCTCTTTCTCTCTCGCTCTCGCTCTTTCTCAAAAAATAAACTAAAAAAATTAAAACTATGAAAATTGAGCTGTTTGGAAAATCAGTCCCATTAAATGCCTTTTTCACAGAATCAAGTTTAATCACCATTTTGAAAAGTACCACAAAATATCACAAAAATACAAACAACTGGCAAAAACCCAAGTGCTAGTAATAATAGGAAGGATAACCAAAGTAAACTGAGTTGTCTGTGAACACCAAAGACTGGACAGATACATACTAGGGTAGAAGACTCACTCAGGGCCAGGGTTGTCCCCTTCTTCTGAGCCTGCATTTGATTTCCGTTAGTTTGCAGGATATTCAGTATTCTTTAAAGCTGCTTTAATCCTTCCCTAAACAAGGAGGGGGAAAAATAAACAAGCCTTCATGAACCAGCAGCTCTGCCTTCTGGGAACCAAAGTAACCAGACACCAGGTTCAGGCAGAGTCTTCCCAGTGATTTGCCCTTGTAGAGCCTACGGGGGGGTATTCAACAGCAAAATGGTAGACGGCCTGCATGTCAGCCAGCAGTCACAGCCTCCCTCGGGCTCATGTCAGCGGAGTGAAGATAAACAGCTGAGACGCAGCCTTCTCAAAGTTCCAAAGTGAGTGGGCAGAGCCAGATGGGCCAGCTTTTGTCTGAAAGCCCAGGGCTCTCCTGCTATCTCCAAACATCTGTCTCCAGTTCATGTTTAGCTCCACTCTTACTCATTTTCCTCAATGGACATCCTTTGGGCCTCACCCAGAGGATATTCTCGGCCTCCTCATTAGAAGAAGTGAAGACTGAGAGAGACGTTCTGGGAAACTTTACAATAGAAGCAAATTATGTGGAGGCAATGAGCATTGTGTCCCCAGGAGTGTCCAAGCCAAGGCTGGCTGACCATTGGTCAGAATTGCCAGTAGAAGGTTCTCTACAAGGGTGGACTCAAGGATCTGAAAAGCTAAATTTCTAATACTGTTTGTGTTGCCTTTATTGGGGGGCAGCCTTTCAATCTTTGTGCAAAACGAGGGCTTAGCCGATCTGAGCCACGTTGTGCAGCAAATCTGTTCCCACTGCCACTTGGCAGCATTCTTAAGCCTAATGCTAGTGTTTGTAGACAACAACAGAGACAATATCCAGAGAAAAGACACTGGAGAGGTAAGAAAAGGGACTGGCAGCTTAAATGCAGCTTATCGAGCCACAGTTGAAAAGCAGCTTAGGCCACAGCCATGTGAGGTGTGGATGACTCTCCAATCAGCACAACAGGGCACTTGGAAGATGGTGACATGGGCTGCCATGGGTGGCTGGGTAGGAGAGCCACACCCAGGCTCTCCCCTCTGCTTCATGGCCAAGTAGCTGACCCCACTCTGCCAGCCTGCAGGTGGCATGGGAACAGGCTTTTGCAGAGTAACCTCAAGCTCCCGCTGACCAGCTGCCCCCAACCCCAATCAGGAACCATCCAGCAGCGAGTCTTCCAGTTTTCCCACTGAGGACAGATGCCTAGTCTCTGAGTCTGTCCTCTCCTCCCTAGGGACTCTTTTTCCTCACTGCAGTCCAGAACCTTTAACCCCCCGGCACCCTTCCCCATTTGCATCTAGGCACACCGAGATCCCTCCCTAAAAAATAAAACCAAACTCTTTGATACCATGTTCTGCTCCACTTCCCACCTACCTCCTTCTCTTTGCAGCCAAACTTTTGAAAAGGATCAGTTCTATGTGTTGTGTCCACATCTTCTGTTCTTTTTCACTCTCACCTCACAGCAATTCATCTGGGGTTTTTGGCATCTACTTACTTCCCTGAAACTGCTCTCACCACTCTACCTATGTCTTGTTTTCTAAATCCAATGTGCATTTTTGTTTGTTTGTTTTAATCCCACATGACCTCCCTGCAGCATCCAATACTGTTGGGCACTTCCTTGTCTTGAAAGTCTTTCTTCATACCAGTGATGGAGCAGACGCTGGGTCACCGTCTCTCCGGGTCCTTGTGCAAGGGCTCCTGCCCTGGGAATGACATTGCATTGTATGGCTTGTAAAGTCACCTTCAAGCCTAAAGTAATTCAGTTCCACGGTTTTCGTTAAGATCTCAAACTGACTTTTGATGCATTTAAGACTGAGGGGAGCCTGGCTGGCTCAGTCAGTGGAGCAAGTTGACAACTCTTGACCACAGGGTTGTGAGTTCAAGCCCCACGTTGGGTATGGAGATGATTTAAAAACAAATACAATCTTTGAAAAAATCAATCAATCAATCAATCAGATTTTGTTTGGCTCTACACACAGGTAGAGCAGGCATGTACTGTGTGATGTCATCTACACGGCACCAAGTTTTACTTGTCCCAAAATACCCTCTACTGCCCTTGGACATGAACATCTTACTTATTTATTCCATTTTGTCTGGGTTTTTTCCTCCCAAAGATTCTAAACTCCTATGAGATGGCAGCTCTATCAATTTTGTTACTGTTGGCACATAGCAGGTGGTTATGCTTTGAGGAACACTTCTGATTTTGAATTTGTTTGCATTCAAACACAATAGCCAACAGAGCAACAGTAAGGCAAGGATTCATCAGCAGTACCTTTTCTTGGGCACTTTTGCTTCATCTAAACTTTGTCCCCACAGGAGTGATCACCTACGCAATAGGTGTCGCATGGGCTGCGCAGGACGAGCTGGAAGTCATTGCCACTCACCCCGCCAAGGACCATTCCTTCTTTGTCGACGAGTTTGACAACCTGTACAAATTTGTCCCCAAGGTCATCCAGAACATTTGTACAGAGTTCAACTCACAGCCTCGAAACTGAATTCAGAGCAGCTGAAGCACTGACGGATGCTGCTTTCCCGACTGGCTCTGGGACAACCCCAATGCATTATGGGGCAGTAAGGCGTGTAGGGCTTGGACAATGGATGTGCTGTGATTGTTTTCTGCCTGTGTGGTTTTTCATACTTTGAAACTTGGAGTGAGAAAGATGATCAGAAACTTATAGAATGAGGCAAAATGATACATCATTTTGAGGGTGCTGGGGATTTACATTTGGTGATTATTTTCAAAATAAATGTTCAGAATCGAGTGCAGAACTTAAGACAGGCTTCACTAGAGCTTTTGTGAGATTTTTTCCATTTTTATTTCTAATTACAATTCTGTAACCCTCAACAAATTTCATTTTTATCATAACAATAGAGGAGTAGCTTCATTAAATGTTTTAAAGGATTACATGCAATCATTCTGACCATATCATGGCTAATGTTCACAGGGTTTATGGCAGAACCACCCTCCGCTCTTCTCGTTTCTCAGAGCACCTGCTATGCACCCACCCCTGGCCCATGGTAACAATACAACCATGGGGGTGCAGAGAAAGTGTGGCAGCAGCATAGCCACTCCTGATTTACCTCCCTCCTCTCTATTATCTGAGTCACTGTGTACCTGCATCCTATAGCGTTAGGAGTTGAGGAACGGCCCTGGAGGACCACGGTGATCTGGCCTAACAGCAGTGCGTGAGGCTGCTCTTGGCCTGAGCTGCACCTTAGACTCTCTTAGAGACTAAAATGCTGGCTCCATTCCAATAGCTATGGAATCTGGGTCTCGGGGGGTGGAGCCTGAACACCAGCATTGTTTGAAGAGCTCTCTGGCAATACTGCTATGCTGCCATTGATTGAGAACCATGAGCTGCCTCTGAGGGGTCAGTGTTATAGGTGTTTCCTGGGAGAGCCCCTGTTTGGGCCTGTTGCCTTGTGTCCTATTCAGTTTTACCATTTGCACTGCATTTGTCGTTAACCAGATATGATCATTAATAGTTGCATTCAGATAAGCCAGGATGGGGTTTGGTTGAGCTCCACTTTCTACTTCCAGCTCCTGCCAAGGACTCATCTGTTAGGATATGAAATCTGTGTGTAATGGGTGAGTGTTCCAAAGAATCCTTAATAAAGATGACTTACCTGACAAATTGTGTTTCGTGAAAATGTGTGTTGAAGGCTGCTACCATGAATGGCGGCAAAAAGATTATACCTGTGTCAACACTTGGGACAAAATATTTAACATAAACAGTTTGAAGATATCTATTTAGCAGAATTTGTATCAAGCTTACCAAATTTCTCGGTACCTGGAGAGACAGTATATTGTCAACTAAAAACATTGAAGTCTACAGGGAGGAATCAAGTCATTAATTGTCAGCAATTTCAAATTCTTTAACCCTAAATTTTACTTCAAAAGCGATTACAAACAGATTTGTTCAAAAACCTCCAAATACAAAAACATTTTCAAAAAGGAAATTCTTTATAAAGATACCAGTGACACACACAATTAGTGAGAACTTCAGCTAAGAAGCTAAAGAAGTTAAACAAGTACAAGGAAGTCTTATTCTGCCTATGTTTTTGAATATGCAGATAATCAATACAAAAGAGTTTTGTTTAATGTCTCTTCAATGTACATACATAAAAATATGTACACATACAAGTGTTTTTAAATTTTTTGTCTTTTTAAAAAAAATGTTTATTTTTGAGAGAGAGCGCGCATGTGCAAGAGAGCATGAGTGGGGGAGGGGCAGAGAGAGAGGAAGACAGAGGATCTGAAGCGGCCTCTGTGCTGAGAGCAGAGAGCCTGATGCAGGGCTGGAACTCACGAACCATGAGATCATGACCCGAGCCGAAGTCAGACGCTTAACCAACTGAGCCACCCAGGCGCCCAGTTTTTTTTAATTTTTGAAGAAAAACTTATTTTTGGAAAATAGTTTTTGAATATAATTATTTCATAGGGGCCTTAATATAAAAGCCAATTTTTCATCAATACATAAATATTTGCAAAAATAATATAATCTAAATCACTTTGGTGTCCTCTTTCATTCACAATACTGTCCCAGTTTGGAAAATAAATTATATGATCACTCTAGTTTAGGTATCATAGTTTTCAAGATAAATGAAACTTCTCCAAGTGGGCCCATTGTCTACATGTTGCCAACAAATATTTGAGTGTATGTGTGTGGAGGAAGGGAGCATCAGAGGTGAGGTCGTCGAGGAACCTGGAGACTATGGAGTTGCCAGAATCATCTGAGTGGATGTTCAAATCGCCAAATTTGGTGGCGTGAGTCAGGATGGAGAGACCAGTAGTGAGCCAAGTTTCACCATCTTCGGCGAACGAGAGGTGATCCAGTTGAGAGAAGACAGCAGTGATGAGGGTGGAGGGCTGAGGTCAGATCTCCAAGGGAGCTGGAGACATTGCAGAAGGAAGGAGGGAGACTGGAAGGGCAAAGGAGGTGAGGAGCAGGCCTCTCCCCACCCTAGGCGTGAAGATCAAGGGATGAGAGAGCACGAAAAGCCTCCCCTTAGGGTGCAGATGAGCAGGGGCAAGAAAGCCCTGAGGCTTCTGGGAGCTTGCTGGCAACAGAGAGGAGTGGCCCCATGATGCAGTGGGCAGGCTGGCGTGGGAGTGGGCTGGGTCAGGTCAGGGTTGCACAGAGCAGTTTGGAGATAAGGGTCCTGGTAGTGATGGATGATGTGGGAAGCTTGGAAGTAAATGCTACCTTGCTCTACCCAGACTGTGCCCAACACTGCTGGGGCCAAGCCAGAATCAACACTGGGAACAGAACCTTACAGACAATTCACGTCAAGCCCTCCAGTGGCAAAAGAGAAAAACCAGTCTCGAGGAAGGTCATGCAGATACAAAGGGAATTCAGATCTCTGTCTTCCAACTGACTTATTTGACTGCCTTCCTGAGTGGGGGAGGGTTAGAAGTTAGAACCCCCACCATCACCTCCATCTCTCTTTCTTTCTCTCTCTCTCTCTCTCTCTCTCTCTCTCTCTCTCTCT